TGCTATTTAAGGGAAAAAAGCAAGTCCATGCAATCACCCTTTAAAATTAATACTATATCAACATATATTTTTTACATAAATGGTTCAAAGCTGACCCAAGCTTTACACTTTATATCTCATTACTTCATTAAATAGTTTAGGTAAATTAATTTTTTAGAAAAAGACAAACTTTACAAGTGACAAAATATCTTTTTCAACTGTCAGAATATTCAATATCTAAATTATTTTTGTGATATTGGAACATTTAATGCTTTCATGTAACACACGATAATGAAAGAGATTGATATATATGATAATTTCCACAGTTTCCGAGGGATTTGTCGTGGAATTGACTCTGTATAAGTTTAATGTCGGGTAGCCTGGTGCCATCCTTATACATTTGTACATGTATGTGATTTCTTGCTTACAACGGTTCATTTTGTAGAGACCATGAGCCTCGCTATAATACACCGGGGTATTCATGATATTCCGCTGCATGACAGGCATTGTACATTCGACGGGGATAGAGATATTTTTATGTATTTTTTAAGACAATTTGCATATGTTGCATAGTTACAAACATGTATTTAGTTTAAGCATAATTATTTAATTGCATTTAATGCATGTTTACAAACATATTTTACAAATAATGAGTATATATCAAAATACAAATATGTAGTTATTAGTGTATTAGATTTATCTCGGGAAGCCTGATGTCATCTTTATACATACATACCTATATATGTGATTTCTTGCTGACAGGATTCATATTCAAAAAAACCATAAGCCTCGCAATAAAACTTTGGGGTACCCTTGATATTCTGCAGCGTGGCCGACGATACGTTTATGTAAAAAAAAGGGGTCAGTTTGCATCTTTCTGTCTATAGCCGTAACGTTTGATTTGAAGATTGATGCCTCCATATCATTTAGGGGAATTGCATGTTGCAATAAAAACGCGTGCTCAAATGTTTCCGGTTGATTACAATCTTGGCAGTTCTTATCACCCGCTTATGAATGACCTTACAGTCTAGCATGATTTACTTATGAATATAGAATTGCACTATAAACAACCTGAATATAGATTAAGTTTCAATTATTATCAAAATATTGTTCAAGTATCAGTTAATCTTAACAAACACTGGTCTTACTTATAAGATTGTTTATAAGAAACTATCATTTTTTAGAAATCTAGAAAAAATGCTATTTATCTCATAGCGACTTGTTTTGTATGTTTACTAAATAAAAACATTTTTAAAAAACAGAAATAAGAGTTCCGTAAAATTTAATCTAGACATATACACATAAATACATAATCTTTGCAATAAGTTCTTGTTAAATACCCATTATTCCGTTCCTTACACTATCATTGAACTATTCTTATGTTAGTGGACAGATGGAATCGCTACCTTTAGCAGCGGTAATAGTCTCGTATAATCACTTAGGTGTAACTTGTATAATGAGCTAATGAAACATTCCTGACGGGTTATTCCCTGCGGTCTGGAGACCGCAGAGTATTGGTACGCGTTTAACTTTTGAGGCATGGAGGAGCACGTGACCTGTTTTCGGTACATGGAGGAGCATGTGATCTGTAAACCGTACATGATTGGTTAATTGACCTTTTCGAAAACCTAACTAAATACCGTTTGCCGATACGTTACGGATTTACCTCTAGGGAATTAGTCCGAACTACACCTAATTAAGAACAAAAAACTATTACGTGATATTTCTAATTTTCTATAATTATTTTACCGTTTAGGTTGCAAAAACTTGAATTATGTGTTTGAAAATTATCAATGTTTCTTTAAAATCTATCTAAATTTTACAAATACTGAAAATCTACAAAATTAAAATATTCGTAGTGGCATCTGCCATAATAAATAGAGATATTTTCTGCGTAAACTTGTGTTTTTATTTTTTTTTTTTTGCTCGGAATTGTTCATAAAATGGTAGGACTATTTAATCATTTTCTTAAAAAGAAATAATTGTTTTGTCTTCGGCCTTCTCCGGTCTTCAACGGTCACCACTTTCCAAAGACTTTCTTCTATATTGATCGATTATTGTTAACTATATTCCTGATACAAACGTTTTTTTACCCCCCCCCCCAAAAAAAAAAAAGTGTTGAAAATAGTTAAATGAAATATCTTTATGTCATTAATAATGTTCCCCGCAGGAAACCATTTTACTTGTTCACTATCTGGAACGAATTTAACGGGCTTTAACGTTATCTCCCCGCCATTGAAAAATTGGTGTACAGAAGTACAATATATAAATTTGTTAGAATGTGGTAGGGTGTTATTATTTTATAATCAAAAGGATTGCACTTTAATTGAGCGAAAGATTATGTGATCATCAGATGCAAATCCAAGGTATTTATTTCAATTTTTCAGTTAAGGTGAAATATTTATCTTTACTTTGTTTTGCGATGTATATATTTGTATTAATATTTGTAATAAGATTAAGAATATAATATGAACATCTTAAAGTGTCGCGGTTAATAAATAATATACTGTTCCATATACATATATATTTGTTTGTCACTTCTCTGTCGATTATCGGTTATATTGAGACCAATAAAGAAAAAGCATTGTACTTTCTTTTGGAGGAAGAAATTTAAAAAAATGAGCAAAAATCGGTATTATTTGTTTAAAAATTGAACATGATTTAGAAACATTTTCTTTATATGTGCAGATTGTAAAAAATCGATATTATACCCCTAAATACAAAAATAAAAACATACGAATGAAATAATTATAACGAATGAAATAATTATAACGATATTATTAAAATATTTAGAATAAAATTTATCTAAATGCGTTTTTGTTTGTATCTATAATGAAACATTTGAAGAAAATAATAAATCAATACGCCGGAACTCGTATTTTTATATGCCATGTTGAAATGATACAAATTGCAGATTCGAACGAGGTCATGAACTTCAGGTTGCCATGAATGATTTCGCAGTTGACCGACCGCATGTGGTATTCTCCGCTGTAATGGATCTTACTGAATTATCGGCTAGAAAAATTCAAAATAGGCGGGGCTATTTCCTTACTGCTTTGCTTTATATTATGCTATAACAGCGTGTTGTGAAATTTGTTCTTATAATCGATTCATTATAGTGCAGAAAAGATAAATAAAAACTACTTTAAGACAGGGAAAATGTGAAGAAAATATGTATTATACAATCCTTATATATTATATGAATGAAAGATATAAGCTATGAAATCATCTAATGAGAGTTATTTTCTTATTGATTAAATTTCACGCTTCTTTTCTTGTGACCACTAAAACAAATGATAATGATGAAGGTAATACCAAGTTATTATAAAACAATTTAATGTTGTTTCAATACTTTTTTTTCAGATAAAGGATCATTAATGTGAAGAAACAGACTTATAGAAGAAATCAACAAGATATCAGACTATACCTAAACTATTTGATGTGAAGGATAATGCTATTTATTGCCTGACAAACTTCATGCCATCGTGTTTTGCTTATTTATTTTTTGTTGTTGATTTATTTTAAGCAATTAATCTACATATCTTGAACAATAGATTACACATGTATCGTACTAAAAATAAATAAATAAATATTTTTTTAAGAGTCGCTCAAAAAAGGAGATGAATCAAAAAAGGAGCTAAAAGGGGAATAAATAGGCCATGTTTAAGTTCTTGTAGTATGAAAATAGATATTTCGCAACAAGCGAAATATCAGCATTTTCATGCCACAATATGAAAATTAATCCTGTATTTATAGAAAATAAACTTCACTTTTTTGTTCATCAATTATTTTTTTCTATTGTTTGACACTAAAATTTGAAAGACTTTCCCTTTAATTTTGTAATTTGACAAAGAGTTTAGAAGAATGTAGCCCGAAAAGACACCAGTGAAAAAAACGGAAATATGTTTCACTGCAGTCATTTCAATAAAACAAGGAAAATAAACTAATTTTTATGTCATCAATATTTCTCAATATTTCAGAATTTATATTAAGGATATTTAAGAATATAATGAAAAGGGATACCAAGTTTTTTATGTAATTACGTGATTTATTTCATCATGTTGATATGAAAATATATATTTCACCAGCTCTCTTTTTATTTATCTTTAATATGCATATTGACCACAGTAGTTACGACACCATTGGAATAGGAAACATATGTTACACGTCAGTAAAAGAAAACTGATACTGATAAAAATGTATTCATAAATGTACAATTGTTCAATGAATAAAACAGTTTTCTATTTAACTTAAAGAATCAAACGTGTATGATAATTTGATAAACATATTTATGATCATAAGAATACGATGAAAAAATTTAACAGATAAATGTCATCAGTTTTATATAGCCAATATTATATTATTTTTATACGTAAGAGAATTAATATTGAATGTATTTTTGCACTACTATATATTCATGAACAATATTATGAAAACATGTAACGAAAACAAATCAGTTTGTGTTAATTTTTAACCCTTCTATTTCATATTTAAAAGATATTGACTGACTGCTATTTATTTAAAAGGCTTTTGTAATCCGCATAAATGACAGCTATATTGACCCATTAAAAAGTAAGAGAAATCTTCTTCTAAGTGTTTTTATCAAATTACTCAGAACAACGATTTTCAACATTGTCTTTAGAAAATAAACTCGTGGAATATTATCCGCAGAACGGACAGGTACAATGCGTTTCGTCAGAGGTTTAAAAGATAGGGGAATTATTCCCCTATGGCACTCTCTACTTATGTCACTCTCTACTATCTCTCTCTCTCTCTGAATGTAAATTTGTTACTGAAAAAGTGCCTTGAGGTCGACCCCCGGAAAAAGGACATCCGAAATTTCCTTTTTTATTCTGGAACGCATTATTTGTAAATTGTTCTACAAAATATTATTTTGAACTATAAAATATTCTTTTTTTTATAAAATCACTGCGAATATATATATATATATATCACAAAATACCCTTTTCAAACTAACATGTGTGCATATAGTGTGTATTTTATTAACAATTTGTTTAAAAAAAACCTACTGTATCATGTTGATTAACCAAGCATGTACATATAACATTCTTATACACGCTTCAGACATGGGTCACGTGGCCCCCATAGCGACTTATTAAGGTTGTCAACATGTGAATATAAATATTGTTCCTTAACAAATTTGTCGTTCAATTTGAACTTTGTATCACAAAGGTGGACATCTTTCGAAATATGACTAAAGAAAAATGGATTACCTTAATATTAGCTTGTGGCACAGGTAATCTTTAAAAATGTATTAATTTATAAGTTAACTATAAAACGATAGTTGTGCCCTATAAATTGTAAGAAAAAAAAGTAAACGTGTAATATGTAACCTTGCACATACAACTCGGAGACTGTCTTCATAATTACTGTAAGACAGTGAATACTGAGTTTCCACATTTTTTTTTATATAACCACTTTGCATTGTTTTCAAGGCATGTAAACGTTTATTGAAAACAAATATATTTCAGGTTTCATAATTTTGATCATCGTGCATCTACCACGTATGTATACTTTAATTTACATTAATCAAACATGTTTCGTTTGTAAATCTAAGGAACTACATGTTCGCAATGTTCTAGCGATTTATTCCCATGTCACGGTGTTTTTGACTTGTCGAGGCAATCTTTGATTACACCCGCTCGTCAGATCGTGTGTTTCAACGCATGTATCATATGACTTTGACAAGTTAAAAAATACCGTGAAATGGAAAAAAAAAACTGATTGAATATTGATAGAAGTTGCACTTCAATTAGGTAAACTGTGGAATTCTAGTTATTTTGTTTGAGGTTAATAAATGGAGCAGCGATATGCCGCCAAATGCGTCTGAGTTGCCGAAACGACGATATTGTGTGTTCCACATTGTTTTGCAAACGTGCATGTAGCAGGTTTGTCACGTTTTTATTGTTTATATATAGTTTTAAGAGTTGACCTTTTTTTAAATTTTCTCGGGATTTTTATTTGGTAAGCATTGGTTTTGGAGTGTTGGATTTTTTCAGGGTTGAAGTAGGGTCAAAGGGCGGGATGTCCTTGCAAAATACTGATACTGCCACCAGTAAAAAAAACTGATTGCTAAGCGACAAACAATTTACTGTAAAATGAAAGGTCATTAAGTGCAAAGTGCAAAAGCACTGAATATAGTGTGAGAGCCATCTGACTGTAATAGAAGATACAATAACTGCCAAGTAAGAGATTCTTGACTGTAAAGTTAGAGCCCTTTTTCTGTCAAATGAGAAAAATTAACGTAATTTAGATTTAAAAGGCCAGATAATGTTAAGGACCTTATATTTCTTTAAATACAAGGACATCTAAATTGGTTTTTATTGAATGATACGATATCTTAGCAATTAACCAAACATTATAACGAAGTTGCAATAACATATTTTTATTTAGCGGTCAAAGGCTTGGTTGCGGTATGAAAATAATTTAATTTGGCAGCTCGCAATTTGTAAGTCGGTGTTACAAACCGAATAAATAGAAATACATTACGTTTGAAATAACCGCGGAAGGTCGTTATATTACAATTTACTGTTAATGAAAATGTAAACGTTTATTTATTATTTTATTTCAATTTGAACTTTGCCATAATTATTTTAACTTTTTATATAAACATGTGAATTGTATCGGAAGAATTATAGATGAAATATATATAACATAGCCCAATAAATTATATTGACTTAAACGCGTATTATTATGTTTAACCTTTTTTCGACGTCAATTCATTTTTATTATAAGGTACATATTTAATGAACGACAGAAAATTTCCCGAGCCACAAAAGCCGGTTCTCAAATGTAAGTGCATTGTTTTACATTACTCTTTATTTATCATGTCATATACTTGCATTAAATAGACATTGAAGAATTGCAAAGATTTATATACATTTGCATACTTATACGTCGATTTTCAGTAACATACCGTCTGTTTGTTTACCTCCGAATTTTAGTAATAACGAAAATATGTTTAGGGGGAGGTGGGTTTAGGAACATACATATGTCTCACCGTTGCAATGGAAAGTTAACCAACATGGAAAAAAGCGAAGCATGTCAGTTTTACTCTTAAATGTAAACACCTTTTGTCCGTTAACCATGTTTTAGTTATCTTAATTTGATGCAACACTGTTCAAAACAGACTTTTCGCCACGTTATGTTTATTTTTTTTAGTAAAATATGACGTACTATTAAACAGTTACATGCGTGCCGGAAGTTCTTTAACTGGCGCTATTTTAGGGCATAGAGCAGATTCGTTTTATCTTTACGAGCCCCTTTGGAGAATTGCAATGTGGACATATTGGCATGGTAACAACATGACATGTAGATCTGATCTTCTACAGTGCAGGTATTTGACAGGTCTTTGACTCGAACTATCTTTTGAACACATTTTGAATGTTTCAGTGTTCTAATAGTCAAATAAATTTGTACCAAAGTACGCCCAAAAGGGAACGCATCAGATTTTGTACAGATATTAATTTTGAAAAAGAAAAAAAAAAACATTTCGGGATTGGAACCATTTAACATATGTAACCATTAAATGGACTTTTGGAAATTTTCTCATATATTTGAGTATTTATTTTACGAAATGATACGTTATAGAAGTGGTGATAAATGACAAGTCAGGCTACAAAACACGTATCATATCAACTAACAACTAACTATGAGCTATATCTCAAATGTTTCGTGTGTAGATTGTGAGCAGTACAAAGTATTTAAGTTGAAATGTCTAAATTTGTTAAAGTATGCATAGAGAATTTGATGTCCTAACACATTAATGTTAATGCAAGGAAATACGAAATTATTTACATATCCTTAAGCTTATTCAACTCTTTATTGCTAGCAGCAACGTATGGAGGTTATTCGTTGCCTAAAATCTAACCTTTGAAACTTGACAATTCATTCTTCGGTTCTTCTGAACATATTAATAAAATTGAATTGTCGATCTGAGAGTTACATACTGTACTGGTATTAAGCGTATTGATTTTCTCGATTTGAAACAACGGAACATGTAACATGCAACTAATATTTATTTCAAACTGTATTTAGAAATGTATGACAAACTGTATTTAGAAATGTATAACTTAAAATTGACGACATGTAGATAATCATGTAAACAATATAATGTACACAGCATGTTTTATGCCGTACATCATGACGTTAGGAATGTTAATGCACTTTCCGTGATAAACATTTGTAAACTATTTTGCAACTTCCATTTATGGCATTATCATGGAAATAGAAGGACATAATAGGCGGAGCCAATTTTGACTCGAACAAAATATAAAAAGAGTCAACACTTACTGTACAATAATAATAAGTAAATAAAACTGTTATATATTCCGCATACATTAGTACATGAGCTGCATTACCGTAGACTTTGAATATCCTCTGATTTTGTAAAACCAAAGTTGTATGTACAACTATCCCTTATCTTTTATTTTAAACCATGCCTTATAGATAACTATATCTTCTCATTTTATACCATATTTCTTTCAATAAATGGGTCAAAAGATGAGTATGTTGATTTTCAATGTATGTATACCATATTTATTTTATTTCTCAGAAGCCATCACCTGCAGGAAATAAAAACTTGTGTAGTATTTCTTGTATTAATAGTTCTCTGCTGTTGATCAGAAGTACAGCAAACGGCATACATATTGACATCATGTATATACAGATTTAGGAGCTGTCATTGATTTAGTTAAATGCAAAATGGGGTTCGCTGAAGACCTTAAGCTACACATCACCTTACATATATATTAACGTAAGTTTTTTTAGTGGATACACCACGGAAAAAGCAATAGCAATCTTACGTACACTTGGTAGAAATGGGTTTTTCTACAACCCAGTATAGTCCTTAACATGCTTACTGGTCCGTCCTATTAATTTATGTTGCCAAAAGTGAAATCCATGTATCACATTCTAGTACTGACAGATGAATGTGAAAAAAGAGTATGAATACGTCTGTATTCAAGAAGTCTATCCTTTTGTATAACTTCATTATCCTGAGTACGAAAACGTTCTAACTATTGTTAAAAGCGTTTTTTTTGTAAAGTCATCCGCTAGTATTAGGATTACTGATGTTATAGTAAATGCTACTACTAGGAAATACAGCTCAGCCAGAATTTGGTTCGTATTAGGATCTGATCGTAGCACAATCTCAGCTGTTGATTTTAATATCTGAAAGTGGTGAGGTAACTGCCTAACTGTCAGTGTTACTCATACCAATTTCAGTAAAATTGATTTGTCTTTAAAAAGAGCATGTTGAATATAATCTGTACAATGATTTTACTTTCGTTCATTTGTTTCCCAAAACAACTCCATTATAAGTTGGACTGAGACAATTACCTGGTGAGTTTTGAGTTTTCTGATATTCTTTCTCTAGGAAATAGGGTATCTACAACGTTTTAAAGCTTATAGGCCTATAATCATTTAAAGTTTGCTGATGTTGAGTGAATAAAGAAGGCCAGAATGGCAATCATGCAAGCGAGTTATGTTTGGTGAAACACATTCATGATTTACAAACACCTAAATGACTCCACAGAATTTACCTTGAAATCTGTGGGTAACGAATATGCATGTTCTTGTTTCCGTGTGAACTCAGACCGCAGAAGGAGAAGCACGATTAATACCGAAAATGAGCGGATAAATACGTTAATTAACGATGGTGTAATGGCTTAGGAAAAGGGTGGAGCTTGTTCATATCTTATATCAAAACGTGAACAGATCCGAATCATAATGGTTTGACATTGTTAAGCTAAAGCAAAAAAGTAACTCATGTTTTGTCGGAGTATGAACGAACGTTGAGTTTGTAGCATGTTTTGAACACTTGGTATTCTCTCGGAAAACAAGTTAGAGTCTGGCTATGAAATGTTATACAAGTATCATGTTTAACTTTGTATACCCATCTCTTTTTAGTTTCCCTTCTGCTGTATGGTACATACAAATACACTTAAAAAGCCCGTACTTTGTCCTCAGTAATTATTGCTTTAAACCTTTTTACCTTATAAGTAATGGCATATCTGTATGGAGAGTAATCATTATTACTGCAGACAGAGAGTACTAACTTCAAATCTACCAATGTTTAATCCAGATGTTGCATATGCATAAAAACGACATTTTAAACAAATACACAATTAATAAGTATATATATAATATATTATTATTTTAATTTAGTGCGTTTTAAACTTAACTATACCTTGAGCAGCGGCAAGCATAAACAGCTGCATTACGTTTATAAGTTTTAGATATTTTTGTTCCATCCACAGTTGGTGCAATTAAATGCCCCGCTGTAAAATAACCAAAAGCATATAGTGTTCTGTTATTTCGTTCTTCTTCTACCATTCCGTCTAGTCTGTCATTCAGTCATTATCAGTTTCCGTTCATTATCTTTGTAGCGATTGCACATATTACAATCAAATTTGGGCTATATAAATATATCACAGGAAAATACAGGTCTTAAATTTAGGATCAAAGAAATACATAAGTAAAGTTCAATTTTGGTCATGGTTTTATGATTGTGGACAAAGTTATCTTCATTAAACCTTGTAAAAATGAAATCTTCAGTTTCACACTTTCACTTTTGTTGAAATGGATGAAGTTTTTACCTCGGCTACAATTATAGTAATTTGAAAAAGGTAAAACCTAATAAATCCCTGGCCTTACACTTTGAATTAAAATGTTTGTGTTAACGTTAAATAGTAAAAGGGCTTTAAACTTAAAAAATATGCAATCATATTATATCATTTGAAATGTTGGCTGCATGCGGAGACATCTGTGGCGTGACGACTTATAAAATGTCTAGTTATAATTATTTTCTATACTTAACTTTGATAACATCATTTGAAAACGTGATTGTAGTATCATAACGGGCGGGAAATACTCAAAACCATCACTATACACAGAATAGCATGCGATACATCAGCTTAAATAGTTCCTTGACACTTGCCAATTTAAGATTCATTTTACAGAAATATGTATAAATAATCACTACACATCGTTTGACGGAATAACTGGGCAAAGAACATCCCTTAAACGGGCGTCTCACATGTGGTTTCGTGACGGTACAAGTACGTCTGTACATAGGTGTACAGTGATACCAGATACATTTCTTCTTTAAATATAGAGATCAAATCGGTAGATTAGTGGTATCTAGGAGTTCCCTTACTATCAACGTCTTTTATCGACGGCATATTTCATTTTTCGTTTGTTTTCTTTGACATTAACATGAAAATATTTTTTTCTGAGAATGGCATATTTAACCTATAAAAAGGCTGAAGTTTGCTTTAAGCAATATTTTTGTTTAATTTGTGAATATTTTCCTAATTAAAAATGAAAAATGTAAATATTAATTGTCTGCAAAAAAATGATATGTGATTTACAATTTCCACGACTGCATCTGACTTCCAATGCTATAAGAACTAATGACAAACATTTCAAGTATGATAGCTTTAAAGAGAAAAGGCAATGATAACAGCTAATTTTATTCTAATCATTCCCTAATATGTAATGAGTTATCATGTCATTTAAGTAAAAACAAGTGTTTAGAAAGTCTAAACAAGTAAGGTAGTACTTTATATTGTTTTTCAGAAATGGCTTTCATGTTATTGTTTTAGGAAGTTCGTTTTTTTTTCTTTTATAGGCCAAAGTTATTGTTTAGCAAGTTGTGTATTTGCCGTTTCCTGAATTATTTTTCCCCAAAATTGACTAGACTGTGATAAGATTTCAACTCATGATATATTTATTTTTTGCAAAATTGTCTCTGTCATGTTTCGGTCAGACATAATTATTTTGTTTACCAGAAAAGCGAAGCCAGTGACAGCATATCAATACAAAGGATTTGTAGACAACCAAGAACGGTAAATATTTTGATGTTTCTGAAAAGAGCACATGTCGAATTAATGCAAAGGATCAAACTTTGATTTTGAAGATATGAATTTTAATATTCAGGTACAATACATCTGTTAGTTTGTACCGGTGACAAAAAGAAACAATCATGACATGTGCAGACCTCGAATCAGTATTTTGTGTGTGTGCTGTTTTTTTTCCCTATATTATAATATGTAAAAAGAAAATACTGCCCTCTCATCAAACACCTTCAGTCCATATCTCCCATTTACTTTTTATGTTAATACATGTTTCATTAATGGTATATGTTATCATGTTGAGTAGTAGTTTCTTTGTGTTGTGTATACATACTTATGGAGCAGCTTAAAGAAGTGGAGATCCTTCGATATTAGAAATCATGAAACTGTTAACAAAGAGCTCATCATGCGCCCCTTTTACCTTGTTAAGGTTTCTTTATCGTAAACTCTAAAATAATCTGAAATAAGTTGAATAAGTGCCCCCAAAGTATAGGAAGCTGCCGTCTTTAGTTTTGAAATTTTAATTAGATTATTACCACTACCTGAATAACAGCAAACTATTTATAATTTGTTTCAGACTGAATATAAGTTCTTTAGATATTGCCAGGACTATCTTGCAAAAGACCTACGATTGTCAGTTCATGAACTATGACCAAACCGTGGTTAAACAGTCAATACAAGGCGGTTTCGGAGGTAAGTGGTGTACGTCGGATGAAAAAAAAATAAATCCGATATTTTTGCGGTTTTTACGTTCTTAATTTAGGTTTAAAATGTAATTCCTCATATTTATAACACAACATATGTCACACTTATCTTTAAATTAAAAGAAAATTGTCACCATGCTTTATTTAGTTTACGACTTTAAATGAACTCTAAACCAACACGATTTATTAAAATCTATCAAGTAAAAAATAAGTTTCATATTTCAAGGCATGAATGTTGTACCTACACCAAAAATAGACGGTAATGCAAACAGTACTATGTGAGGTTCGCTTAATCGTACATATGACAGTGGGTAAAATACCGATAAATGATATTATGTAAAAAAGTTTCCTCCGTTGTCTTAATATGATAGAATATCAGTGCCAGGCACACAACATTTTTCAGAGTTTAGATATTAAATTATATAGGCCAAAAAAATCTCATTTAACCGTGCATTTAGTTTACTTCGTTTAATTCAGAAGCGCATTGTGTTATCGCAGGACAAAAATGTGTCCTTGTCTGGATGAGATGTTAAATTGCATATAATTGTTTCTTAATTTTTGTCTTGTCGTAGTTTCTCTCTGCGGGGCGCCAGACCAAACAAATATTGAAAATACGACCAAGTGACCTTTTTTGCTTTCCTTTCTTCCGAGGGACGCTGCATTGTTAATGCCTGGTGTTTTTGTTTACATTTTCTAATAACCCGCGGAACAAACTTCAACATGTTACAAATCTGACAGTACTACGCATTGAACTAAATACCGCTATTTAATATAATGATATTTATGTTAAAGTATAAAAGTGTCTGTTATCAGACTATGAGAATAAATGAACAAATGAATTTTAGAAACTTTATGTCGCTACATCATGTTATTTTAACCGTTCAACCCATTTATGTTTTCCTTATAAGCGTGTAACTAGCAATGCTAAATAATGTTTACATCAAAGTAGTAGGAAAGTGATACAGTGTACAACATTATTTGTTTTAACTGTAAAACTTAAAATGTTAGACATGTTTTGAAAATCAATAAAACTGTTTTCACATTGTTTATTTAAAAGGTCCCAGCTGGAAAACAACAAACGAATGTTTTAACCACCAACGTAATTATCATACATGTTTTCAACGTCACATACCAAGAACGTGTAAAAATTCCACACATAAAGTCACAAAAGTATTACGACTTACAACAGACAATTTGATATATTTTCTGCAGTCACGTGCCAATCTCAAGGTCATTCATCTCTTCAGAGATCCGCGCGCCATAATTAATTCTAGAATACAGACGAACTGGTATCCAGCCAAAACGTACAAAATGGTGAAAGAAAACGCTAAATCATTGTGCAATAAAATGCTGTACGATTTTCGCGAAGGTCAAAAAGTGTACAAACAATTTCCGAATAGATTTAGATTTATATATTACGAAGATTTAAGCGTTGATATTTTAAATAAGTCTAAAATTTTATATAAATATTTAGGTATGAATGCAAATGAAAGATATTACCCACAAGTAATAAAATTTCAAAGTTTTAAAAACATAACATCAGATGAAACGGAGCGAAAGATAAATAATGCTTATTGGTGGAGAAAAGCTTTAAATTGGGAAATTGTAGAACAAATGGATGAAATATGCAAGGGTGTGTATAATGAACTTGGGTTTAAATCTTTTTATTCCATACATGAATATAACGACATGTCCATACCAAGTCAAGTCATACCAAAAGAGTTTTTGATCGTTTGATGCAACAAAGTCGTGACAGAGAAGCTGATGTAGTCAGTTTGAAGGTGTTGTCAAATGAAATTGTTGTTTAAATTTATTTCAATATTATGTTATTACATGTTTTATTTATAAAAACATAATAAAAATAAATAAAACTGGCATTATTTGGGGGTTTCCAGGACGAAATCACATGAGATAGAGTTGTTTGTCCTATAGTGTTATTAAGGTGACGATCCGAACGAAACCAAACAAATGCTGTTTGAATAGTACGCTACATTAAATACTTTTGTATATTTTTTTTTAAATTTTGTTGGACATTAAATTCTCAAATAACACATCGCCAAAAAAGGAATAATATCATAAATAATATCATGCAGTCTACTGGATAAATACTGTTTAAGTTCATAACAGGGCTCATTTTGCATGACGTATATTCCTGTTAAACCATTTCATTTAAACATATCCAAGCAATTTCCCTTAAATTAGGGTCGTGTGCCTTATAGCTGAAAAAACTAAACTAATGCAAGGGCTCATCCGCAACGGGATCAGACATGTAGGTCATAATATAAAAGACGAATCATTTATTATATATAGCTGCATTGACAATTTGTTTGACCACTTGACGACTTGTCAGTAAGACATTATGCACCGGATTCCGACATACAATTTTGAATTTGATCATACATTTTAAATGTAATATGTGTTTATCATTTAATGCCACATACTTATTTTTAATTTAATGCCAATAGAAGTTTAGTTTAATGAAAAGCATAACAAAACCAATGCGTGCATATTTTTTATATTACTATCTGAATTAAACTATATCATCCTGCCAAATATCCATTCATGTAGGAATAGCTAAAGGATGAACCTGCAGTAATAAGTAAGAGTGTATCTGAAATTGTTTCCAGAAATATATCCATAGCCACCGAGGGCAAGTGAAATTAATTTGAATAAAATAAAATGAGCCAAATAAGTAAAAATCATTTAATGTAAACTGTTTGCAATGGGTTAATGACATACTTTTGTTCACAAATGCGTTTTTGTTACCTTCATATATATATATTACCTTCATATCATGGGTTGTGGAACCTCACATATCCAGGGATGCAGGGAGATAGTAAACGCTATATTTGGAAGTATTTTTGTCTTTATAATGTATCTATTGACTTCAATTTTAGAAAGTTATAGATACCATTGTGGGATACGACACTGTGGGTCAATGACCCACAAAGCAATATATATATAGTATATATTTGCAAAATGTGGGTCATGTCCGACAATCCGTTCTTATATTATATGTTATTTTGGTTTTGGAGTGATATATGTGGATATATTACCTGTCAAGATTTTATATCACCCAAGCCGTTAGGCGAGGGTGTCATTTTATCTTGAAAGGTAATATATCCACATATATCACTCCAAAACCAAAATAATAATTATATTACTTCCCCTGTCGAGCTTAGACGATTTAAAAATAAATAATTGCAACTTCAAATGGAACGTCGAAATAAGATTCCCTTTATGGTACCCCTTCACCACAACATGACGTCACATAAATACATGACGTATGTTCTTTCTAACGTAACGAATGTAAACAAAAGGAAAGGAGTAGTCTGTTGAACGCACTTTTTTGGAATTAATATCAAGCTTTAACAAGGTCATATTTGTTTTCAATACTGATGAGATTATGTATCATTACTTTATTTTGGTAAATATTTATCATTTGACAGTTGAAAAGTGCTTGTAACTCGGAATTTACATCGTGTAAGATCAAACCGTACGCGCATCGCCACAGCACATGTTGTTTACAACGTGGGGTACCCAACGGGGAAATTATGTGTTTATATTACCCGTCTGGCTCGGTTATATCAATTTATTTCGGGTGATCAATATCCAATCAAAAAGGCGGAAAAATCTGGAAGGGTTATAAAGAAATATACGTATATTTGTTATTTGTTTTATATAATAAATTCAACACAACAACAGCTTGAAAGAAAAAATGTTCAGTGACTGATAAACTGGATTTAATTTGATTAGGGTAGCACGCAATTATGCAAGTGAAAATCATTTATCGTCGTTTTATAGACTGAACACACACACATTAATACACACGTGTATTGAAAAAGGTGCCGGTGTACAGGCCATCTTTATGTATTCTTTTTTATGAAAAAAATCTGAGAGTTGTTTAATTCAAATGAAAATTTTGAAATGTAAATATTTAATAACACAACCATTGTCTTACGACTGGCGATGGGTATAACTATCCTACAGAATACATTTTATTATAAAGGAAAAAAAAATACTTCCCTTATTTTTCATTATTACTTATAAAAAAAATCTGCATTTTTACATCTGAACACCTATTAGCCGGGCTTTAATAAGCCGCTTCTAATGCAAGAATTAGAATTTCATACATCAGGAAATGTTGATAAGAAAATCGTTTAGTAGATTTAGTCATTTATCTTCCCAGGCTCTTATGAAAATGTTCCAAGCAATGTTTATGTGCATTCTAGTTTGTTGTTATTTTAGTGACTAATTTAATGCTTATTTGTTTTTATGTTATGTCTAAAAAAAAACATGTCTATAAATTTTCATAGTTTTAATTTTTATAAACTTTTGCTGATTGCCTATTTTCTTCAATTATTAAATCGATCGGTAGACGACTTGTAAGTGTCCATGTGTCATTAAATACCCTAAACTTGCGCTGTTACTACCGATTCGGATTATCTACATAATAACAGCAGGGGGTCCATAAAAAATAGGAGTCTGGCTGGACAAGTGGTTATGCGAATATTGAAGTCTAATCTTTGTCAAAAAGTTTCAGTGTAGCAGTCATGCCCCTATGTATAAAATGTACCACTGCTGTCTAAAAACCAATCAAGGATTATGTCCCGGCTTTGTTTCATTTACTCCTTGTTCATCTGTAAGAGTAGTGCCAGTTTTGAATTTTGTCGGTATGACCCTCGTATATCTTGACATTCTGATGAAATATGACTTCCCTCATATAATTGAATGACATGATAAAACATAAGCCGAGATGCGTATATATCTTGATTTTATACAGTTATCTCTTTTAAATACGATTCACCTTATAATGCAGACAATTAAAATAATTTAGTTAAATCATATAATATAAAATTAGAGAAAAGGCACAGTTTTGACCTGGCGATAGTCTCTGTAGTGACATCACCATCAAAACAATTTCACTATCAACCTGAGCGGAGTATTTACTATCATTGAAATTATAACGCAAGCAACAGTTAAGATTTCAACATCTTTTATTGGCTACAGTCTATTGTTTTAATCAAGATTCAATGCCTAACAAGTAATGATTGTAACATTGACTTGTAAAGTAAGTCTCTCAAACGAAGTTTCTCTTAAGACAACTATACACATACATAGACACAGGTTGCAAGAAAAGAATTTAAAAAAAATAATGGAAAATATGAGAATATATATGGTACATGGGTGAGGATCTGAATGTTTTTGGGAGGTAATGTCATAAGTAAAATTAAGGGAATGGGGCCTAACAAACATATATATGGTTCTGGGTTGGAAGTTTGGAAAATTTAACCAAAATACATTTATTATACAAAAATCCATCTTTGACAAGGTGGGACCTGACCCCAGGGACCACCAATTTACACAAAATCAGAGCGGCATCAAAACTCACCGATTACTGAGTGTGAAGTTTTGTAAAGCTATGTCGGCCTCCGAAATATTGATTGTAAAATGTTGCCATAGCGATAAAGAATAATAACAATTATAATAAACAGAGTGAAAACAATAGGCCTATAAACTTTGTTTGGGAGACTTAAATAATACATACTCGCAATGCTCAAAACCAACTGGTATTTTATTATTCAGTTTAATTCAGATTCACCACCATTGAATTACACATCATATTCAATGTGTCAGTAGACACTAAAATATTTTTCTACAGTAAAATGACATCATTGACTTTGCTATATATCACATATGTAATATATACAAATAACTTATATATAACATATATACTAATGTCATTAGATCAAATTCATTGAAATACACTGGGCAGTTTCTCACCAAATATCGAAACATGATATGTCATCAGTAAGTGACCAATTCCCCCCTCCACATAGTTCTTTCATGTATGCTAATTATTATCAAATTCTCATCATATCATGAACTTTGATATACAAGTGTCACTTTTAATTATTGCGCATGACATTTTGTTTTAACATGCAACACATTTAGGCAAAGATACTTTAAAATCTATCCATGAATAACGGAAATGTTGACCGTACACAAACATCAATGCACTTTGATGGAACAAATTTCCTTTCAATTGTGACCTTGACCTTTGAGCTACAAACCTTGGTTTAACGTGACACATATCACCCCCAATGTACCAAACATTGATGCACAATTATCTAAAGCCTATCTATGAATGACAAAGCCATGGGCAGAACATGACCATCTACTCACGATCACATCACGGCTTCGGAAGAATAAGAGTGACCTGACCTTTGAGATGGAAACCAGATTCTCGCCACAACACATAGTTATCATGTCAAACACATTTATGCATTTTTTTAAATACATCAAAGACTGACAGAATTGTTGACCGGGTTCGATCATCAATGCACATTTATGAAAAAGTCATGCTTTTGAATTGAACATGCAAGTGTGACCTTGACATTTGAGCTAGAGCGACAAGCCATCATCATGTCCAATACATTTCTGTAAAGTTCTTTTGAGAATAAAATTCATCCAGGAATGACAGAATTGTTGACCATACAAAACCATCAATGCACTTTGATGAAAATATTTGTTCATGTGTTAAGTGTGACCTTGACCTTTGACCTACAAACCAGGGTATGACACATTTCTTAATGTTCTACACATTTATGCAATGTCATCTCAAAATCTATCCATGAATAACAAAGTTATGGAGAAAACACAAAGTTCAGACGTACGGACGGAGGGACATAAAAATCAAAACACACATTAACTATTAATACAATCATACATAGGCAAGTTCCTGTTAAATTGTAAAAATGAATGAAAATTTAACACCTTGTGAATGAACATAAGCTAGAAGAAACTATGAAAGCTCGACTGTTACAGCAAGTCAACAATTTATTTTTGCTTATGGATTTATGAAAGTATCAAAATTCAAATTAGAATGATGTAAAAGTTGATAATTACAGTTTAAAATATGTTAAACATTCATTAATTTTTTTGAAGCTATTATACTAGTACATTGTTGAGTACAATACTGAATTCTATTGGCCGAGGACACAGCTATAAAACTTAAATTGGACAAGGTCCTATCTGATATTCAAATACTGGTGTAATAGTCCAATAGAAGCAGTATTGTATTCAAAAATGTAAACGGACCTCTTTATTTCACACCACCAAAGTTTTAACATTTTGACTTAAGCACAATATATAATGAACATTTTCGACACTGAAATGTATTTTCATACTCGCAGTTTATCAGTTATTCTGCAAGGAACACATTTGTTTATAATTATTCAAAAACAATAGTGAAATGAATGGCAGCAAGAACTGGAAAGACTCCCAAAACCTCAAACCCATGTATGTTTAGAGCATAACACTATAAAACTGTGAGTAAAACAAAAGTACCTCAAATCTGGAATGAAGTCAGTTGAGATTAAACTTGATATGAATATTGTGGTACATATTTTATGTATCAGATCTCTATGATATAATGTTTGTTCCCAGCTGGAAGTACATGAATGGCATGATGGTGAAGTAATGCACTTTGTGATAAGGAAAGCCAATTCAGGGTGTTCTTAACAACAAAATGTTCGGTAATGAAATTTATATTATATAAAATAGTTTTTAGGACATGTTATATATGACATGTATATGTCAAGTATGCCAATACCTCATACTGTGTAAATGCAGTATAAAACCATAGGCTTCAAACAATTTCTCAATTTGAAAATAGCTGAAGATACTGAAATTGTCATGGTTTTCTGCGCCTGAAATTTCCCTGGCCTAATAATAGGACAATGAAAGACTTCCTAGTACAGCCCCAAATGTACA